CTTTAGAACTCTAGAATGTTGGGATTTTGAAACGTCGAAACTTTAGAATATTGAAGCTTCTCAACTTTAGAATGTCGGGATTTTACAACTTTAGAATATTGGAACTTCTCAACTTTAGAATGTTCGGATCTTAGAACTCCGCAACTTTAGAACTTCAGAATTCTACATCTCAGATTACACATATCATCATGTTTACTTCCCCCCATTCAATATCCACAAATCGCAATTAAAATCCAAGGCATAACATGACTAAAAATATTTCCTCCTTTCCCTCAAAAAAATTCCTTCTCAATAAATCAAGCGTCAAATGGTACCGTTTACAAAGCAGCAAATACGCAAACTCACTGCGCGAATGAATTGCCTTGTACTAACGCACAGCTTGTCTACTGGTAGCGCAAAGGAGGCAGTGATTTTAATCGAAACATGTAGACTTACGTCCAGCCACATCGGGTCCGGTTGCGTCAAATCGCATGAAGCAGTTGCGTAATTAAAATCAGTCGTCGTGACGCCAGTAAAAAATGTGGAGAAAATTGTAGGTGGGGGAAGAAGCCAAAGCTGATTTTCGTTTTTGTTCACCGATAAATCATTTCGTAGTGGACCAGTGTCGTTCCTCCTCCATTTTTCTGCCGGCCGATCGATAACCCCGTAATCACTCGTCCCGGTGGCCGCGTAATTTATGGTTTCCGGGCCGAAAACAATCGGACGCCGGCCAATAAATACTTGGCCCCGTCGCTTTATCTGTCGGGAGCACTGATTACGCGGAAATCGAGTACCGGCGACTTTTTCAGGCGAGAGGGGACGATGTTTTATATAAGATAGCAACGAATTTTTTGTTTAACCGTTTGAGTGTTAGGAAGCACTATAGCGCTCTTGTGTTGTGCCAAAATTGCGGAGAGCGCGGAGGCGCTTCTGTTTAGCAGTATCAATTATATTATAATATCAATATATTATAATATATTATATCAGTTATATTATAATACCAATATATTATAATATACTATCAATTATATTATAATATATTATCAATTATATTATAATATATTTTCAATTATATTATAATATATCATCAATTATATTATAATATATTATCAATTATATTATAATATCAATATATTATCAATTATATTATAATATCAATATATCATCAATTATATTATAATATATCATCAATAATATAATTGTTATAATATATTATAATATATTATCAATTATATTATAATATCAATAAATTATAATATATTATCAATTATATTATGATATCAATATATTATCGATTATATTACAATATATTATAATTTCCTTACTATATTCTTCAAGAAATAAATCAAAGTAAATTGATTTGAATAAACGTTATTTTCTGATATTTTTTTGTAATAACACAATATCTGTGATCTCATTAGATAAGTACTCTTACTAATTTCTTTACATACACACCCAATCACTTCCGCATTTTTGGTAAACATCCACAAAAGTTGTTCGAGTAACTAAATCATTTGTCCACAACTTAGTCCTCGAGATACGAAAATTTCATCTCGCCGAAACGTCGACGGTCGTCGGCAAAGGGTTAAAAGCAAATTATTCCGATTGGCGGTAAATAAAAAGTGCTCGGTTACAGTTAGCCCCAATTCCCGTCGGATCTTTTCCCACAAACGGGCCATTTAACAGCGACCGTGCCCTTTCACTGGAAGAAGCGGATCGCCGTTCGTCTGTCGGATCGTCGCGCTCATTAAGGCCGTGATTCCGCGCAATTAGACAACTCGAGGGCTCAGTTCCGATCGCGTCGATTCACTGTCGCCGATCAACCGCCAATTTCTGAACGGATTGCGATTTGTACGAGCTCGAGAGAGCCAGTTCGAAAGTACTTTCCCGCTGAAAGAGAAGCAACGGGGCGTGAAGAAAGTGCAAGTGGAAAGTGATCGTATGCGGTCAGACAAAGGGTTGTCAGACGCTCGGATCGTGTATCGAAAAATATCTTTGAATTTCATTGTAGACGATGGTAGTCGCTATTGTTAATAATGACACGTTTCCTATGGTGTCATTTACAATAACGATCTATTATTTATTGCACTGCATCGATAAAGCGGAATGAAGGTAGGAGGAAAAATAGAAGTAATACAGACAAGATGGGAGAAAGTAGAAAAATTAGAAAGAATTTTCCAAATTCCCATTTTTCTATTTATATTTTTCTATCTTAGAAAAATAATGAAAAAAATCTGACATTCAATGTCCTATATATAGCAATTATTCATAGATCACCTAATGTAATTGTTCATAATTGTTTCCATTGAATGTCGGTGCATATAAACAGAATTTCCATTATTCAGAAAGCATTTATTCTGTAACTCCAAGTTGCAAAAATGTTCACTTCGTTATTTCAGATTTTATAAATAACTTCTCGGCAGTGCAATCATAGACCATTTTGTAAATTTTCGAAAGTTCAAATGAAGTATAAATTTCGTTTGACTTGTCGCGGTAGGAATAGTGTTAACGACGATGTAGCCGTATCGATCAGAGTTGAGGAAGAAATCGTAGGCCAAGGGGTTAAAGGGCACGGTCCATCGCCGTCGAATCCAGGAAAAAAAAGGACGAAAATGCGAGAGCTCGCGCACCTTTGTGCGCCTCGAGCGCGATTCGTCGGCCGGTTTCACGGTGGAGCGAAGGCAAAAACGTCAGAGAGACTCGTCGAAAAGTCGAAACTCGACGCGAGATTTGGCTAATTTCCCGACGTCCCCTTCGGCAACTCGATTCCCGTTCCTCTCTTCGCGATTACTCAGAGAGTTCTGTTTTCAGCGTCGGTGAATCGTAATTATGAGCGCGACGTAGGTTGTTATTATGTTTTCGCGGCGAGCGGTTAAAAGGGAAATGAAAATACCGTGCCGGTGGTTGTATTGTTATTTAATGTGGGGTTTATCAAAATAAATAATGTAACGGTGGGGTGAGGCTGACGAACGCAGCGATAACGGAAAATGGAATGATATTGTTGGCCGTAAAGTAGTTGAGAAATATTCATGTGAATAATGAAATGACGGGGAATATTGATGTTAACGATAAAACAGTAGAGAGATGTGGATATCAATAATGGAGTAACGGAGAAACTGTTAACGATAAATTAATGGAAAAATGATTGCTCGACGGTACTTCGCGTACCGGTTAATTTTCGGAAAACTGAATTGCGACTATCAATTTTCAGTGAGATCAATTCACATCATTGTACACAGAGAAACTCAGATGCATTGTTATGTATAAAATTTCGAATGATCAATTCGAATGAAATTGAATATTGCTTTAACCGCTCTGGTAATTAGCAAAGTTGTCTTTATTAACACTAGAACTACGTACCAGTCAAAATGACTGGTTTCGTGTTTTTGTTTAGCAATTATTGATATCTTCGAAGCATTGAATATTCGAAATGATCTTGAAATTAATAGTTTCATTTGCATATTATAACGAATATGTGAAAAAACTTAACTGAAGTGTTAAAAGCATTAAATATTTGAAATGGTTTTGAAAATAAATAGCTTCATTTGAATATTATAACGAATATGTGAAGAAACTGAAAATACTCTATTGTTAAATATTCTTATAGAGATTACACGTCAACTATATTAAATGCTGTCTATTAAATATTCGAAATAATTTTGAAAATAAATAGTTTCATTTGAGTACTATAATGAATGCCCGAAGAAACTGAAAATAATCAATTGTTACAGTTTTTATAGGGATTGCATATTAATCGCATTAAATCCTCCGTAGTTCTAGTGTTACAAACAAGATTTCTCGTTGCCAGTACGCAATGTGTCGTTGATAATAAAATACAATACGAAAATTCTAAATCCAGAAAAACTTTCCACTTTTCACGAAGTGTTTGAAAACTGAAGTTTTGATAAATATCCAGTATCCGGTGATCAAAGTTGCATTTCAGTTTTCCTATTTTCCCCTTAATACAGGCCTCCGTCTTCGACCTAGTAAACAAACTTCCCGAAACTCGAAATTGCTGTTCTCCCGCGAAAATTCGATTCGATTATCCGCGCAGAATCCGATCGTCTCAAAAACTCGTTGCTACCTGGTGAATTCGATCTCCCCTCCCTCTGCCCGATAGCGTCGGAGGTATCTTTTCTCTAGTAAAATCGATCTCGAACTGGATATCGTTCGAAACGAAGGATTTCCCTTCGTCCTCTCGCTTTGGCTTCTTTATCGCTGGCACGGCGAGATGGAAGCTACAAGGACTTTGTATCCGGAAATTTATTCTCGGGGAAAATCATTTTAGAATTCAAATTAATTCCTAGTTTACCTGCCTCTTTCTCTTCGTGCCAGAGAATCGAATGGAAAAGGTACGCTGGTTTCTTTTTCGTTTAACCCTTGACAATGTTGTATATTGTTTCGTACATTCAGTGATTAGCAATAATTATTAGATAAATAATTGATATAATAAAATATATATTGCGTTACACGTACTGAAGTTTATTAAAATTGTTGAAATAAAGTGACATGGAAGGAAGTTATTGAAAAGTCTCTTTGAAAGTATAATAATAATGTAACATTGCAATATAATAAAATTTGGAATATAATGATAATAGATCATGGTAATAATCTATTATTACTTTCTAAACATTGTGAAATTGTTAAAATAAAATAAAATCGAAGGAAGTTATTACAACAAAGTCTCTTTGAAAGTATAATAATAAAGACAATGTACATTGCAATATAATAAAATTTGGAATATTATAATAACAGATCATGTAGTAATCTATTATTACTTTCTAAACATTGTGGAATTGTTAAAATAAAATAAAATCGAAGGAAGTTATTAAAACAAAGTCTCTTCGAAAATATAATAATAAAGACAATGTAACGTTGCAATACAATAAAATTGAAACTATAATGATAATAACAGATTAGATATATTATAGTAATAATCTATTACTATACTTTCTAAACATTGTAAAATTGTTAAGGGTTATAAAATAAAGTTCATCAAAACTAGAAGACTCAGTGCTCACCTCCTTGCAGCTGCGGCTCGCCCAATTCGACATAAAACAGCGCGTCCTTCTCGTACGAGTCCTCCTCAATGATCGACAGGTTGATCACCTTCCTGGAAAGAAAAGAGGAAAAAAGATTTCATTAGGAAAATCTTGTTCCATAGGTCACAGTTTATGGGAACATCGAGGGTAAAGTTTTATAAATGAATCGTCGGTAAATTCCGTGATCTGCAAACGGCATGTTCATTAAAGATAACAATAATGTTTCCGTTCAAACGTTTCATTAGCAGTAAACCTTGAAAACATTCATGGGTTAGCGAAGTTGGACATCGTCGTTGAAAAGTTAATTGTGACGTTCAAAGTGATTCACCGAGTCTGCTCGACCCAGATTTTCGCCTAAATTCATTTTAAACTTTTTATCCCAGCTACTACAGTTTCCTGTAGCTAGCTATATTTGTCAGCTGATTATACTGGATTTAACCCTTTGAACTCTGTAGGCTCCAATATTTGCACCAATTATAATATTAAATATTTTAATGAATCTTAACACGGTGGCTCACGTTAGACAGTGTTGGCTCATTAAACGGTGTGCAGCATGAAATATGTGGCTCGTCGAGTGGTTTGGTAATTAGAAAACATTGCCGTATAGTTGAGAATTAATTTACTTATTGATCGTTTAAATATTTTTATCGATTTTGATAATTCAACCGCCAAATGGGAAAGACTGGAAATTATAGCACCAGTGTGAACGTTTTAAAGAAACTACCCTAAAATTATTCGATTCTCCGCACGTCCAAATTTTGTGCTAAGAAGGAGAATAAAAGATGGAAGAAATAATTACAAATAATCACATATCAACCACATTAAACGCTCAGTATATAATTCTCCCGTTAACACTAAAACTACCGAGCAGTTAAATTGAGTTTTCGTAATTTCTCTATAGAAACTACAAGAGTGCATCTGTCGAGGCTTTAATTGATTTAGATTTCAGTTTGTGTGGAGCTGAATCGATTTCTTTGGTAATTTTTCAGAGAAACATTCGTCATCTTTTAAATAGTTGCAAAAAAAGAACGTCAGGAATGGATCACTTTGACACGTCTGGTAGTTTTATTGTTAACCCTTTGAACTTTGTAGGCTCCAATATCGCACCAGTTATAATATTAAATATTTTAATGAATCTTCAAGAAACTACTCTAAAATTATTCGATTTTCCGCACGTCCAAATTTTGTACTAAGAAGTAAAATAAAAGATCGAAGAAACGTTATAGCATTTTATAAGAATACTATAAGAATTAGTTGCAGTTGCTGATAGATTACAAAACAACCCGAAGGGCTAAGGTTCAATAAGGAGATCAAAATATTCTGTGGAAGTATGCTCGAAGAAGTTAGGAAAACTGATAAACCGCATCTTAATAATTCGAGAATTTCTCCCTTGTAAGATTGTTTCAAGAAACTTCGAGGAATTAATTTGTAGCTGCGGTTTCAATAAATTTATCTTGAATCTTTCAGATTTGTAATGTCGATGTTAACGAATTCCTTACTTGAAATCTTCTGCAGATTTAATCTTCGCGATTCGTCGAACATTGCCACATTAACTTCGTGGTCGAGGGCTCATTAACACTAGAACTACCAATCACTTAAACCGACTTTCACTGTTAAAATTTCAATTATTTTGCTATTACTGAATTAGTTAATTCGTTAATAATTCGTCAATTTTCCCTGGAAATATCTGCACCGTTTTAGTAATTGTAAAAGAAGGAATCAGGAATAAGTCGTATTGGCACATTTGGCAGTTCTAGGAAAACGATAGAAAAAATGGAGATTATAAATCATTCGTCCGCAACTTATTATTCCAAATATAAGCATTCCATCTAAAAATGTCGACGTTCGTCCAGAAACGGTGAACATTGAAGAAGATCGATAAACGAACACACGATCAAAGA